ACTGAATACTTTCCCCCACCCTTTGGAGGAAAATGCACGCTTATAAGGGAAGACACTGGCAGCAGGGAGTCAGTTGGGCCTCCGGGCTAAACATCACTGCATGAGCATGCCGATATAGTAACAATACATGGCACACTATATTCAATTATTTATTCTTGCCATGAGTAGCAAAATACAGTGGTTAGTATATATAAAAGCGTAAGGAAACTTGGCTACAATTTTTTTCCCGTTTTGTGGTGAAATAAGCAGGTTATGTAAATAGTGTGAGAAATCCTCTAGTCTTTACATAAACAATGATACAGTTATACAAGATCCAGGATTATGACCATATCCCACACACCAACACTACATGCAAGATAGAGTTCAAACTTGTTCTTCTATTAGTCAATGGAAATGTAAACTACTTTCCTTGCAGGTTCTGCAGAGTAGAGCATTCATTATTCAGTTACTCAATAGTACCGATATAGTTCATACAATATATAAATTCAAATTTATTTTAAATATTGACATCTTATTACACATTGTAGTCTGCTGTAGAACAAAAAATAATATGGCATAAAAATTGTACAAGTTTGTTCAAACCTAATTATGGTTATTGTTATATAGGTGGTTTCTTATAGCGTTAATATACAACTTTATGGCTGTCAAAGATATTAGATATAGCACTTGATTTTCCAAATTGAATCTCTTTTAAAATTGCTGGACTTGTTTCGGAATCATTCCTCTTGAACCATGAGTAATCCATAAACTTCAAATTTTGATATTTTATATTTTTCCGAAATATAGGAGATAGTTTTCTTATATATTTTCCCCTTTTCTTCATGATGTTCCTTTGGCTGACTTTCATTTGCCTCGAGACAAATTGTTGGGTCAATAATGAGACCACCTTAATCTCTTCCATTGTCTATAACAATAATGTCACTCCGCCTCACAGAGCCCTCTTCTTCTATAGATGTGCCCTCTTCATAGACCTCAACTTTTCTTTCTGAATTGATCAGCTGTGATTTTTCTGATCGTATGGTGGAGGGTAATCCGTATAAGGTTACAATTTTTTTTGGAAAATACACAAATTTCAATTAAATCTGATCGATTGTATTTTCATTACGAGTTCCTATTAGGATGGAGTAAAAAAAGTAAAATACTAGACAGTTTTCAAAGAGTGCAATTTAATTCAGCCTATTAAGGAACACAAGAGTATAATTATGCAACTGGAAAATACCACTGAGCTTTAGGAATTGATATACCGTAGTTCAACCGTGAAAACAAATTTATCAAAGTTTAGTTATCTGTTTTGTTTTAGCTCAATGCTGACGCAAATTTTAATCCAGAATTCTTATTTAGGAAGCAGGAGGCATGATAGTCAGTGATAACTTTGTTATTTTGAATTTATTTTCATGGGTAGTAATAATAAACTCAAAAGAAAACATGTTGAAGGTTTTATTTTGAACTCCGGTGGTATTTAAACACATAAATTTGGTAATACAAAGAAAAACAGCAAAACCATTCTGAATCTTCACTTTCGTTTGAAAATATATTTAATTTTTTATACCAGTGTAGAAAAATTTTGGGAAATTTATTTTTTATTTTCCTCCGATAAGTTCACGGAACATTTTTCATCAATATGTGCTGAATAAAATCTTTCCACAGGGAGAGCTTCCTCAGAAGAATTGGAATGATTCAAACTGTTTTTGATTTGTGATCAAGGTTTGAGAAGATTGTATTGAGACAATTAAAATGTCATAACTGCTCGGAAGGTTGGCTTAAGTTTGAATTAACTTTAATCGTACAATATCATAGTCTAAACAAAAATCACACGGAAATATAGTTAGATTTTGTTGAAAATTTTTGGACAGTAAGTTTTTGAAAATATGAAATTAGAACAGAAGAGAAGGAATCCCCCGTGGATTGATTCCCTTGTACGCAAGTGAATTTAATGTAATTAGGGAAAATGTTAGGAACAAACTCCTGCTGGCAAGTTGCTAACTGTTAATTTACACTAAAAACATACACTCAATATTTTACTGTTAAAATAATGCATTTTTTACACTTTTATGAATTAAGTGAAGCCAAATAATGAAATTAAGTTTTTAAATATAATTGGTTATGTGGTTCTAAGAGTACAATATTTATTTTAACTTTTTTACAAAATAATGTATTACTACAAATGTTTGTACTGTTTTTATAGGAGGTACACAATTTATGTACCAGTACAGTTTTAAACTTGGGTAAATGGGTATACTGACTGGTTAAAATATTGAGGTTAATGAATTTAATTTGGACAAGAACTGTGATATAATGATAACAAAACAAAAATACTCAAATAGTTCAGTCAAATTAAACATAAAAAAGGGCCTTGCTTGCAAAAGGTCATGTAGTTCTAATTTTTTAGTATGTTGTTAGGACCTATACTACAAATAAAAAACCAAGTTTGCAGCTTCGAAAGACCTGTGCTACCGGCGTAGTAGCCAAAAAAACGTAAAAATCAGACACTTTTTTCACTTTTTGCTAAATATCTTCGAAAGTATGCCTCTAACAGAAAATAATGCCATATCCTGTGAAAACAGTATAAAATTTGCTAAAGTTTGAGACTATAACGACTCCAATACGTCCATTATCAATGAATCTACAACACTTAAAAAACGATAGAAATTTTCAAAAAAATGAAAAAGTTTTGTCATGATCTATTATTTTGTGTCATATTGTTGAAAGTGCTCATAGAAAAAAAATCTATATGGAATTAAATGAAAGATAATTTAATTAGCTTTCATTTGAACCCCAGCATGCACTTATAGACCCAATGTTTCATTCAAAAACAGCAGATAACATAGAACATGAAAAACGGATGTTAGAACCAGTGTGAAAATTATTTATCAATATCACAGTTTATTCTTCTGTTGCATGTAACCCAATCACCTGTTAGTTGGTGACATTAATATAAACCAGCTGATTAGCTGGCCCCAGTGGACACATCTAGACCCAATGGTTCTTTCAAAAACGGCAGATAACATAGAATGTAAGAAGGGGATTTAGCAGAAATGAAAGTAAACTATTTAACGGATCTGGAGGTAGTGATAATTTATTAAATAAAAAGAATAATTATATTACATGAGACTGACAAAAACCCAAGTATATTAGAAAGTATTTAAAATTTTCGGACTTTCGCCGGCCTTGGTTCGGGAAAATGTTCAAATGCTTCGTTGCCGATGTTGGCCGGGTCATCCGATGTACACTCAATTCTAAGATCCTTATCCTCATCATCTGAAGCATCGAGTTCCAGTCTGGGAGTATTTGAGCAGGATTTTCCACCACAAACTTGGCAAAGGACGGAACATTTCAGCCCTGCTTTACGGCAGCTGCATCTTCCGCTGCAACCCTTTTTGCACTTGCATGATATTTTGCGCAGGAGTATTTCGGGAGCAGGATCCATGGTAGACGTAATGGGGGTAAGTCCTTGATATTCGAGCTTCCATCCCCAATCAGTAGGATTTTTGTCAGCACCCAACCATTTTTGAACTTGGTGGTATGTAGCAGTATTATCGGCCGGTCGATACCCTCTCTTCTGCCCACTTGTTCCTGGCAAGGAGAATAGATTTTTATAGCACATACTATGATATCTCGCTTTAGCAGCTACTAAGTCATCCTCATTAACAGAGAGGCGTAGTTCAATTTCATTACCACTCATCCCCTCGGCGTTGCGCTGCATCAAGCACTGTTTTCCTTGCACCCAATTGCTCAACTCTATGGACCAGATTTCTTCGTGAAAGTGGTAGTTTCTGTTGAAGCTTGATAAAGTCTTCAGTGATGTCTTCACCACACAATAAACAAATACTGTGTAAGGTCGAACGGATACAACTTGATGCTCTAGTAGATACTGTTGTTTGTGGAATAGAATCCCCTCCTCTACGTACTGCAGCTTCCACATTGCTCACAACAGTATATCTTTTTCTACATGCATCATGAATGGTGACTTCATGAAGCGGACGAAGAAAAGTAAGATTTTCCGTAAAGCCACGTTTTGCACTCGCGTCTATAAGTGCTCGAATACCACGTTGTTGAACAATTATGACAGGGTCTTTATCTAGAGCCCTAAGGCACACAAAACAAACGCCCGTAGAAATAGACATATCACATCAAATCATTTTTTAAACCAAGCTCTGCTTCTAGCATGATAAAAGTAAACACCATCACTAAAACTAAATAAACTTTAACAATTGAAATAATAAATAGTAACAACTGATCAGCTGGTTTATATTAATGTCACCAACTAACAGGTGATTGGGTTACATGCAACAGAAGAATAAACTGTGATATTGATAAATAATTTTCACACTGGTTCTAACATCCGTTTTTCATGTTCTATGTTATCTGCTGTTTTTGAATGAACCATTGGGTCTATAAGTGCTTGCTGTGGTACAAATGAAAGCTAATTAAATTATCTTTCATTTAATTCCATATAGATTTTTTTTCTATGAGTACTTTTAACAATATGACACAAAATAATAGACCATGACTAAACTTTTAATTTTTTTTTAAGATTTCTATCATTTTTAAAGTGTTGTATATCCATTGATAATGGACGTATTGGAGTCGTTATAGTCTCAAACTTTAGCAAATTTTATACTGTTTTGACAGGATAAGGCATTATTTTCTGTTAGAGGCACACTTTAGAAGATATTCAGCAAAAAGTGAAAAAAGTGTCTGATTTTTACGGTTTTTTGGCTACTACGCCGGTAGCACAGGTCTTTCGAAGCTGCAAACTTGGTTTCTTATTTGTGGTATAGGTCCTAACAACATACTAAAAAACTAGAACTACATGACCTTTTGCACGCACGGGTGTTTAACTTGACTGGACTAAAAGACAAAAGAACAGTAGTTAAAGAAAGGTGACTTCCAGTAACAAAATATCTAAATGTGTTGCTTCTAAGGATTACATTTAGTTGCATATTTTTCTGCTAAGGACATATAAAATTTATCAAACATGTTTCAAAACCACACAAAGATTGATCCAAACAAATGTAATTCTAACACAATAATAAATTAACATGGCTTTTAAAGACATCAGTTCAGAATCATAGCAATGTAAATAAAGAAACTGGGCAAACACTTGAGATCTTACTCAGATTATTTGTGTTCACGTTTGTCACCTGTTCAACAGTTCACTAGTTTCCCAGTTGAAGAGCTCACCATTTCACTATAGTTAACTAGTTTACTAGTTCCCTATAGTTCAATTACTTCTCCAGTTCACAAGTTCCCCAGTTCACAGGTTCACTATAGTTCTCCAATTCACAGGTTCACCTTTCCCCCAGTTCAGCCCCTGTTCCTCCTATGCTGTATAACAGTCTCATGTATCCAGTTATGGTAGAAGGACACTCTAGTGTAGACGCCAGGGACGTCTGCTCTGCCACAGCCGACCCCGAAGCTCACGATGCCCACCTGGTACCAGCGACCTCGGTCTTCACACACCAAGGGTCCGCCTCCGTCACCCTGCACATGAGAGTGTCATACAAGTGTGTCTGTGGAAATTGCTCAAGTTTGAGGACTTTGCTACACACAGCTTACTCAGAAGTGTGTCTTTAGAGTCAAAAGGTATGCAAGCGTCTCCAGTAAAGTATTGTGAAATTTCACCTCTACTAAACCTCATCAACATGAAAGATTGTTATTTTGGTTTTTTGTTTGGCTAGAAATAATAAAGACAAACTGTATATAATCCGATAATGTTGATTTTTAAAATCCTTGCTTATGTGATTGTGCTTTCTAATATAATCATTTAACATCTAGGATGGGTTTTAACTTATTTTTAAAACTCTGTCCAGTTTATTCCTAACAAATTTTATAATTTATTCAATAACTATATAAAAAGCTGGGACTTTTAAACTCAGGTTGGTTTTAAGGTGGTTTTTTTGCCTGTCCCCAATCGACATTGCTTCGCACCTGTGTGCGGGATTTATCCAGCAAAGCAAGGAGTTTAGGAGTGAGCCGATATAGTAAAAGTGTGAACTTAACCGACAACATGTAGTGATCATTAACCAGGACCCAAACCATGGTCTTGTAGTCCGCTGCACATGTGACCAAAGGACACACCAGAAAATATTTTAAATAAATTAAGAAAGCTCCTTAGAGGAGTTTCAGGTGTAGTTTATTAACTTACATCACAAGCATCCTTGCCCTCTGCCCCAGCACAGATAGCTGTTGGGGAGAGTGAAAATCTGGCTCCAAAACTGGTCCTTAGAGCTGCCTCACACTCACTGTTCTGCCACAGAGGGACTGAGATCTCTTTCAGAACTACGGAATGGCTCGAGTCTACAGCAAGAAACACAATATAGAAAATATCATTCTCCTATACTTAATATCAGCTCAAACTCAGTAAGTCGATGAAATATAGAACCGTGAAAATGGAACTATGGATTTTGATTTTCCAGAGAATAAAGTAGCAGTGAAACCTTTTTAACAAAGTGAATAAGCTATACATAGAAATGTGCCTTCTTACGAGTGAGCTATACACAATTTTACCCCTTGGTAGCTTACTCAGTATTCTCCCAGGATTTTGAATTGTAGAAAAAGGAGGATAGGAGCTAGCTTACCTTGAAAGAAAGTCCCATAGGACATGTAGAAAATACAAACTGTGCACACAATATTTCGTCCCCTGAGGGACTTTGTCAAGTGTAGAATAAGAGTTTACAAATTACAAAATGATAATTTGTCATTTTGTAATTTGTAAACTATTTCTCAACACTTCACAAAGTCCCTCAGGGGACGAAATATTGTGAGCACAGTGTATTTCATACATGTTCTATGCCCTACCTACACTTTCGAGGTAAGCTAGCTGCTATCCTCCTTTTTCTACAATTTAAAATCCTGGCTTAGAGCCTTTCCTTGAACAAAACTATCAGTATTCTCCCAGCACTTTTACCTGATTATTTTTTCCCCAGGTAAATTGTCTTAGGATAATGTGCTGGGGGAAAGAGCTCATTATCAGGGCCCGGTACTGAGTACGTTCCCCCACTCTTTTGGGGAAAATGTGCGCTTATTAGGGAAGACACTCGGGCAGCAGGGAATCAGTTGGGCCTCCGGGCCAACCATCACTGTATGGGCGTGTTGAGCCCACACTGGCTGGACGGGCGTGTTGAGCCCCAAGCACTCCTTTACCTTTCCCTCCGGTACAGGATGGGCGTGATGAAGTAACAGTATTTTTTTCCTTCTCTCCGGTACAAGATGGGCGTTTTGAGCATGCACTGACTGGACGGGCGTGTTGAGCCCTCGGCACTCCATCTTTACCTTTCCCTCCGATACCAGGATGGGCGTACTGAGCCTCCAGTACTTTTTCCCTTCTCTCCAGTACAGGAGGGCGTGTTGAGCCCCCAGTACCAAGTAGTATTTAATAAACAAGAAAGTTTGTATTTCAATCACTGAGCTGTCACTTGGACAAAACAGTTGTTGAGTTAGAAAAATAGGAGTGTGAAGGAACTTTTCTCCATCAAAATGAAACTTCCTTACACATTATGCAAAGTAAACTTTTGTATACTGTATAATCATTACCAGTACATTTAATCTAGAAGAAACATCCTGATATAATGCACTTATGTCAATATTTGCTCATGAAACCATCCCAGGAGATTGGATTGAAGTATAAGCTTCGGTTGATGTGGCTGGGACCCTGGGTCAACGCCCTCATATAATCCCAGGAGAAAATAATTTCAAATCCTGAGGCTGCAAACTAATTAAACTCCGTTGATAAGTGGAAATTGTTCTTTGGCTAAAGGTTTGTTAACAATATAGTGCCTTCACTGTCCTTTTCTGGGTTTTCTTATGTCTTCCTTCTGTCTTATCCATACTATTTATTGTTTTTATTACTTCACTGCTATGTTTATTAAGTATGCATATGTCTATTTGTGTATATGGATGTCCATATTTTATTCATCGTTTTACCTAAAACATGACAATAGCCTAAAATCCATGAAATTCGCCTTCACTCACCTTCTGAGTGTTTCCCCCACCCTGTGACATAGCAGGTCTTGTTCTTGGGTAAAATCAATTGGTCAGAAGGAACACACACTATGTCTATGTTGGTCCTTCTTCTGGAGGCTTTCTCCATACGGACCAAGGCAAGATCGTGGACTAGGGTCTTGTTGTCGAAGTTGGGATGAACGACAATCTGAAATTTAGATATCGAGTAATTGAAATGGAAAAGTAACACTTACAAAATTTGGTTTGACAATAAGGTAAGGACTAGGTGGATGCAACAACTGGAGATCGGAATGGGGAATTACAAACAATTCGTCATGCAGCAATGAGTGGAGTGTCAGACTCATGTGGTGACTCTTCTTGGAAATACCAAGTCTTTATAGTACTGTATAAGCAAAGCTGACCCTAAATGGCTTAGAGTCATTGGATTATGATTTCTAACAGGAAATGTTACATGTGCTTATGGAGGCTTTTCAAAATAACTAGATGTCGTCTAGTGGTCAAAAACACCACCGAAAATATGTTTATTTATAAAAAAAAATACAAATTTACAAAACCCATACAATTTAGCTACAAAAGCCATGTAGTGTACATACAATAAAACAGGTGACATAATCTTCGTCTCCTCCGATCACAGCAAAATTGTGAAGATCTTATGAGTTTGTGGGTACATCCTGAACATCTTCCGCGATCGCAGATGAATAGTGACAACTCCTACTTTAACGGCGAAATATTGTAGATCTTTTGCGGTCACACAGATTTCATCATTGTCTCCCGCGATCATGGCGAAACAGATTATCGGAGGAATAAATTTATCAAGAGAATAAAAAGTGAGGCCCCTTCCTAGGGTGATGCCCTCGGCAACCGCCGTTAAGAAAATACAGCCCTGAATAGCATTGATATTCTTTTTCCCAGTAGTCACTACACCACAAGTTTATAAGATTCTGATATTAAAAATGTTAAGCTACAGACCTGTGCAACGTTCCTCTCTTCATGCTCTGTGGGTTCATCTGTTGTTGTGACGTCATGTTCTCCCAGTCGCACCTTCAACTGCTGGAACGATCCTAGGCTGAAACATGGATAACAACTTTATCAAAGTATTCACGATGTTATCACCTTACTGTCTGGATTGACTAGTTTGTAGACGTTACTTATTAAAAGCTTGCCAAAGCTTAATATTTGTCTAAATCATAATGAAATATATCTAATTATGAATGCCAAAACAACACTTCATGCAGTTTGTTTTAAAAGAGATGACATATTCTTGCAATACTTGAGAGTACCATTTACTAGAGGTTTTACACATAGGCCTTCTTAATTTTTAACAATTTTTAGATGTGGTGTAAGATAGAAAATGTTTGATTTATAATGGATTCAAACTCTTTATTTGGAACAAAAGAGAGAACAAGATTATTTTGAAGTCTGAGGCTTTAGTAAAATTTTTTTGTAATAATATTTTACAGTGACTGGTGTTGATTAAACATAATTATTGTGAGTGTCAAGTCAATGCTATGGACAGATAAAAGCGACCAGCTTTTGTGGTCCATTATTATGCTGTTTTATAAAGCCATTGCTACTTATAGAGGACTATACATTCAATAGAAGAAACCGTAGACTTTTAAAATAATGACTTTTAAAACATATGAGTTACTCACAACTTGTCTACACAGTGAGCTGCTGTCAGGACCCAGGACTCATCTATCAGAGAGGCTCCACACACATACACTGCATTCTCTCTCTCCAGTAAGGCTGCCTGTAACATGAAGCCTTGCTGTTACAATAAACACTCACAACTTGTCTACACAGTGAGCTGCTGTCAGGACCCAGGACTCATCTATCAGAGAGGCTCCACACACATACACTGCATTCTCTCTCTCTCCAGTAAGGCTGCCTGTAACATGAAGCCTTGCCTTGTAAAAGTTCCAGCTAGTACCCCTATTGTACAACCCAATAACTGAGAAACCAAAACTAATCACATACCTATAGCTCACGATCAATCTACAAATCATATATTCAATGATTACCACTTGATGGATCTTTTAATCCTTTTAAGGGGTTTCCAGAGATGATCTGAGCTTAGGTTGTATTCACATCTTTTTGAATTCTTACAGGTCAAGAGGTAGGAACAGTGCTGCAGTTCAGCGTACTATAGGTTCTCCTTCAGGTTAGAACCACTATTGATGCAAGAGTTTAAGAAGAAAAATGGAAATAATTACAGTTAAGATTGCTAACTTTGATAACACTGCAAGAAGCACGATATTCAGAATGAAAAACAATATGTAAAACAATAAACTATTTGTGCAAATCCCTGATTAGCTGGTACTCCTATGAATATGTTAATGTAACCTCACTTGATCAAATTTACCCTTAAAAATCTTGTTTACAGGAGCATATGGGAGTAAACTGGTAACACTAGGTGACTCACATGCCAGGGCCACTCGCCGGGGCCGGCCACTCCCTGGATGCCAGAGTCTGCTCCCTTGCGACCACACGATGAGTGAGAGGAGGTGCCGAGTCTGGGAGGTCGAGGGAAGCAGCACACGCTGGACTCCGTCAGTCCACAGTATGTTGTTGGCACTCCACCCCTGGGACAATTGGACAATTTGACGATGAAATGCGCTCTCTTACACCAGCCCTGACTAAGTCAAAATGTACATACATCACTTGGGAAAATTATCTTACAAATCACAAACTAAAAACAATCTTTTTGTTTGCTAAAAATAAACATGTTTGCTTAGAACAATTTGACACAGAGAAGTGGGGTGAACATATGTGCAAGTAGTAATGTAGTAATGTGTCTTGTGGGGTTTTTAGTAAAATGTGGTTGGCACTGTTGGCAGCCTCTGGAACGTATCCAGCAATCCAGCAATGTAAGGGGTGAGCCAGTACAGAACAAGGGTGAATTGTACTGGTAAAAAGTAGTGGCAGGTACCAGGATCCGGACCCACAACATCTCCAATTGATGGATAAAACGGTCCGTAAATGGTCCAATAACATGGTACGGACAGATAAAATGTTATCCGTCCGTATGGGTCTTCATGTATGTGTCGTCGTGTATGTGTCATCGTGTGTATGTGAACTAAATGTCTACCTGACGAAGCTACAATAAGTGGATTTTGATGTTCCTGTACTACGACAGTTTGACAATGGTGTTCTGACGAAACATGTAACCACAAAGTAGAAACTACAATTTTGGAACTGCAGACGAGGTAATAACCTTCACCTTATATTAGTCTATAGCAGTTTCGAGGCTACAACAATGGATTTCAATAATATATTTTACGTTTTGAATTATCAATGTGTAGCTAACTAATGTAAAAGGTCCTACAAAACAGGCAGGATTTTGCATTCCACCGAGACCCATTGGTTATAGGAGATGTTTGGACCTATTCCTTCAAGACAAAATGCCCAAGCTCTGACCACTAGACCAACTGCAAGCTATTACTTTAGCTGCACCTCATTTATTGAATGTTAATTAGCTATGTTGAGTTCACTTTAATGTAAGCTGTACCACAACAAAATATATTTCTTTCAATAAAAGTTCGGATGTAAGTGGATATTCAAAATATCAACATTGTTTCTTACCCAAGGACGCAGTTCCAGTACTCTTTGCACTGACAGGTCTGAACTGTTTCTACTGCAAGTGTGGAGGAAAGGCTCACTAGCAGTAGCACAGAAGTCAATATGTTTCTGGAAAAACCATTTGAGTTAACCACTATGTAAAAATAAATAATCAGTGGTAAAATAATAGATATACAGGGTGATTGATATAAGTGTGCCAGCCGTTTTATTCGAAAACCATAAGAGATATTTAAGAGGGCGTTGGAGTGCGGCCATGTTGGATTTTTACCTCCATAAGAACAATGTTAAACTTAAACCCTGATATCTCACTTATTTGCCAATATAAAATTATGAACTATGTTTCAAATTAAAGGCATATTTAATACACATCATTATTGCAGGAGACTTTTTAACAAAAATAAAGGGATTTCTAGGAATAGAGAATGTAAAACCCATATATTCATCAATTTATTTTAGCCTTGCTAAGACGTCATAGAAAAAACTATTCCGCAAACATGATCCGAAATGTTATTAAGATTAAAATAAAATATATTTCAAATCATTAAGTCAAACAGTAACAAAAAAATATGCTTTTAAGTGAAGGCATGTTCCGCACGTTTCAATGGGAACTTGTCACTGGTTTGCCTGCGCTCTCCTGGTCAGCGAAGATTTTTAATCTGACTCCAACGCCCTCTTAAATGGTAAGTGCCTTGGACTTTTTATTAAAAAAATCGTAGTAAAGTCGAAAAAATTATTTTAGCCACCATTTTTCCAATATGGCCGCCAACTTTGATTTTTCTTATGGAACACCCTGTATTTTATGATGTATTCTGGTAGAAAATGTAATTTTAAGACGATTTTATTCTTGGGATTTTTTTCATACACCTAACCGTTTCAAAGATAATAATGGTTTAAGTTGTGAAATTTTGAATGGTTTTCGAATAAAACAGCTGGCATGCTTGCTTAGGCCTTTATCGAAACTCTTTCTCATGCAGAAATTTCAAAACTTTAACCATTATTATCTTTGAAACGGTTAGGTTTATGAAAAAAATCACAAGAATAAAATCGTCTTAAAATTATATTTCCTACCAGAATACATCATAAAATACAGGGTCTTCCACAAGAAAAATCAAAGTTGGCGGCATATTGGAAAAATGGCGGCTAAAATAAATGTTTTGACTTGACTTCAATTTTTTAAATAAAAAAATCCAAGGCACTTACCACTTAAGTTTTTTTGATATCTCTTATAGTTTTCGTATAAAACGGCTGGCACACTTATATCAATCACCCTGTATACTTCGAAAGTAAACCTTAAATTGAATAGCTTTTAAGACAAAGGTTGCAATGGCTTTTATTTGAATCTTAACTTTCTTCGTCCCAGAATAAAAAATAGCATTATTGTTATTCTCAGTTCGCTGGTTAAATTACAGCCTACAATAGCTCGACGCAACCTCAACACTAGCCTGTGTAGCGTGCTTGCATTCAATACTAGAAGGCGTTAAAGAACTCCTCTAATTGCTGCTACAAATGTTCAACTGGACCATTTTCTACTTACAACCATACTGCACACTGAAAACATCATTGTATTGTAGGTAAAAAACTTGGTTTTGGGTTATAACTGTCACCATAATATTGTACTATATTAAATATCTTAAAAAATGACTGAAAATAGGGAGGTAAACTGACATAATTAATTAGTAAAATCCTACTTTATAAACTGATAAAAATATACAATACTCATATCGTAGTTTATGAGAAAATTGGTACAATTTAATGATCTAATAATGACACGTTTTATAAGAACAGAATATAATATATAGTCCAGGCAAATTAGATCAAATATAGGGTGTGCTCCCCAAAAAATCGTCTAAAGCTGGGAAGTGTTTTAATACCTTTTGGGGGTCCCAAATAAGACTCCTGTGAGTTTGCGACGGATTCTGACGTCTGCTTAAGTTTTGGGAGTCGAAAAACTATGAAAATATTGCACTTTTTTCAGTTTTTCGCTTATAACTCCTAAATAACGAATCCTAAGGAAAATGTTGTTCGGAGGTGTCTTTTAGTGCACTAAATCCCGCGTCGATTGATGTTAAATACGTCAAAATCGGCTTAGCCGTTTAGCCGCTGTAGCTTTTCAAAAATGGGATATTTTCATCAACATGGCCAAAAGGTTGATTATTTGACCAGTTTTCGGCTTACAACTCCTAAACGACGCATGCTATACAAAAATGCACCTGTAGTTAGTTTGGAAAACACCAAATTCTGTGTATAATGTTTTGTTTTTTATTAATCAATAACGGCAATTGATTGTTACTTACTTCGTATGGTCGCCATTTCATTGAAAAAAGTATTAAAGTTAAAGTTGGGAAATTTTACTAAAATTGGTAACGACATAGATCCTGTCCTTAAATGGATTATGAATCATGAGATAGTGGTTTATTCCATGATGGTCATCCAGAGGTTTATCTAATAAGGTGTGATGAGAGTAAGACACCCTATGTAGTTTTAATATTGTTGTCTGAGGTTCCGAAAATTCTAGGATTCATATCCCAACCACCCATTATATACGATCTATCCCTGTATTCATCTTTCAGTTTTTGGTTTACGTCTCCTAACGCATGCTATAAAAAAATGTTCCTGTAGTAGTTTCCTGTAGAGCATAAACGTCTGCATAGAATATTTTCCAATTCATTAAGATCGGCTTCACCATTTAACCGCTATTGATTGTTAACCCTAGATCAGATGCTTGTCAAGTTTCCGAAGTTTAAAATCTTACCATTGAAATCTGGCAAACAACCAGCCTAATTACCAAAAACATAGGGGATATGGCAGTGAATCTATCCACTAGTGTGACGTCATGGATCCTGCAGCATGGCCTATGAACAAGTAAGTGCTCATGAGAGCAACATCTTAAAAAAGTAAATTGTTTTGCAAGTGAAATGCCTGACATTCCTTGTACTCGGCTAAAACAAAAGTTGATGGTTTGGCTTGCTTACCACCCTTTTTACAGTTTGGATGAATTTTTTGCAGAACATAATTGTTATTTTAAAATTGTTATCTAGTTCTTACTTAGTCCCTAGTCAACTGTTACCTAGTCTTTCAATCACTTTGTTTAAGTACCTTACTTTTTGTTTCTGTATATAGTTCTGTTTTTTTCAAATGATTTTTAACTATTTATTTTCTTGTTGTCTTTGTTATAGTCCAGTCAATGAATGATCCAAAAGTAGGTGTAGAGTGCGTGAGCAGGTAACTAAGCGATTCCTTCAGAAACTTGTTCAGGGGGCTTAGGGTGTTAACATACCAAAAGTCCTGACTCCTAGGTGGTGAGCCAGGGGGTGGAGGGGGGGAAAAAGGGGGGGGGACAGGTACGCATTTTAGGTTTTTTGATTATATCTCGAAAACTATCAACTTTTTGTATACTATAGTAAATTATAAAATTGAAGAAGATTAAATTTTCTACAAGAAAAGTATATAATGTGTTTATTTTGGTTCAACAGATTACGAGTTATAACTTATTTAATTGATATCTTATTAAAATACTCCTTCCATAAGAAATACATGTAAATTATTATGCGAAATGGGGCGAATCCTATCCGCCCAAAGGAAATATAACTGATATTCTGGAAATCTTGACAAAATTTCCAGTAATTTGACACTTTAATCATGAAATTTTGTCAAAAATTAAAGCGAGGGTGAGCGTTTTAAAATGGGATGATTTAAGGATTTTTTTATATTTCCAATAAAAAAACATCAAAACTCGACATTTTGTTACCTCGCCCTCGCCTTAATTTTGGATCAATTTTAATGATTAAAGTGTCAAATTACTGGAAATTTTGTCAAGATTTCCAGAATATCATTTATATTTCCTTTGGGCGGATAGGATTCGCCCCATTTCGCATACTAATTTACATGTATTTCTTATGGAAGGAGATTTTAATATTATATCAATTAAATAAGTTATAACTCGTAATCTGTTGAACCAAAATAAACACATTATATACTATTCTTGTAGAAAATTTAATCTTCTTCAATTTTATAATTTACTATAGTATACAAAAAGTTGATAGTTTTCGAGATATAATCAAAAAACCCAAAATGCGTACCTTTCTCCCCCCCCCCTTTTCCCCCCTCCACCCCCTGGCTCACCACCTAGGAGTCAGGACTTTTGGTATATTAACAACCTAAGCCCCCTGAACAAGTTTCGGAAGGAATCGCTTAGTTACCTGCTCACGCACTCTACACCTCATTCCTTGACTGGACTATTATATTTATTGAAGATTCCATGCTATACTATCTAGAATCTATGGCCCTTTTTGGCACCTTTTTTTATTAACGAGGTCTATTGTAACATCTATTATTTAATGACCAATAAAGATTTATGATTTATGATTCATCTTACTGTGGAGAGCTTTTCCGAGATAGGGGAATCAATGATGGGGATCTAGCCCGATGGTTCGCTGGCAGGCCCATCGCAGTGAATGCTACCCATAAAATTAAGGGATATTGTGGGATCACCTCTTCAACAATCAGCAAGTTGACAATATAAACTCCACGGATACGGTGGGATCGAAAAGAAATTCATCAAATGGTTCCAGTGTCACGACCCATTTACTGAAAATAGTTCGCTCATGTCAATCAGCTCAGCAGTTATCCCATATGATAGCATCAACGCGAGATATGTATAAAGCATAATGGAAAGGCACAGCTTGCAAGAAAATCGTAAATAGGCAAGCCTATAATGACCATAAACTGTGCAGAATAAAAGGAAGTGGTGACATTAATCGCGAGCTGTGATGGCAACAGCAAAGGTTAAACAAGAATCTGCCCCCTCAGTCAACACGTGATATTCCACATTAAATCCAAGCCTCAATTTGAATCATACTTTGGATTAAAAATAGGTCCGTATTCACTAGCGCAGTTTGATGAAGAAAGCGTGATGTAGAAGAGTCTAAAATCTAACTATTCATGTAGCCTAAAACTACTCATGCTGTTTACTTATATCAATGTGGATCTCACTGTGTTCTGACGGGTTACAACGCTTGGCGAAGTTGCAGAAGCAGGTTGACCCTATACATGGTTGGAAGCAGAAAATATCCAAATCAAGTGAGGGTTGGTCTCTTCTAGAGGACACT